CTAACATGTCGAGTCTCCTCACATTTTAAAAGAACGAGAGGTGAAGACTCTTCAGTTCCTAGGCGGGGATTATATTAAATCAGGGACGTTTTTTTTTTCTTTAACGGATTTTCGCCATCACCATCTCTCTGACATAACTTCAGGTCTGTTTTCATCTTACGTTTTTATCTTGAGCGTATAAAGTTTGTATGTCCTATCTTTTTTTCAATAAATGTCGACATTTCATTGTCGAGTGTTCAGGCGACTTTAGTCTAGAAACTTGGTTTATTTAAGCTTACAATTTGGCTCCGAGTCAAAAAGAACTCTGTCATTAAACTAGTTTTTTTTAGTCACTTAGGCAAGTTGTTTTTATGGGCACGTTTTGTTACTGACGCGTTTGTAAAAGACTACGTTGCCGATATTATAAGTCTATTCATTGTTTACTTGATACAGACAAGCAGAAAAGCAAAGCAGTGATTAGGAGAATAATTTGCTTCATCGCCATTTTGGATCATATACTCGATTAAAGTCCGGCAGAGATTTTAGCGAACAGATTTCTTCTTAAAAGGGGTCTAGGCTCGCATACGCAAGCGTTTTTCATGAAAGGTAATCTCTTGCTTACGGTTATGACCTACGGAATTCACTAAACAGCATGATTATTCAGATTTCGGTTTCGAAAGCTTAAGGCCTTTTATTTGTTCTTGCTCATGGCCGTGATCGTAAATTACTTTCAACCACGTTATGTCATTAAGCACATTCACGTACACAACAGGTGTTTATTTGAATGATACGCGACACTGTACACTGTACTTTTGTACATAACACGCAACATTATTTGGTAAAACCGAGATCAAAATAACATTTTTTTTTTAACTTTAGAACACTGCATAACGCGTCAATGCTTTGTATGACGTGACGATAACTTTTCGAAATTTCTAGTCATATCTTAACTGTACATCTCGCAGGTTTTCTTTTTTTTTTTGAGAAACACAGAAACATTCCCTCACTGTAAAAGGAACAAGACGCTATGGGAGCTTACACCTCGGCGTCGTGGTTGAGCATTAATTGTGAATGAGGAGGAATGGTAAGAAATTATATTTTTCCGGATACCCTTACATACAAATACTCTTACTTTTCTCCTTATATGCAACAGACATCTTAACTTCTTCAGCGGAAGTCTGCTGAGTGCATGACCTCGTGGCTGTAACCCAATTCGATTATAATAGGCTCTTTACATGACTTGATCACGTGACCAACTTTCGGTAAACACAAAAACAGTTCACTTTTGAGAAAGTTTGTTAGCACAAGCTGAAAGACCGTATTAAAACCAGGTGACTTGAGCATTTTCAGTCGTTTATCTCAAAAGTAGCGATTACAACGGCCGCTGAAAGTTAGAAGCATTTGTATGAGAAAAACAACTTTTGCCACCCAGTTACGCTTGCATGGTTTTCCATACGAATCTTTGTAAATTCTAAAATTTTTAAACTGTCGTTAAATCTTTCCTTTACGCATTTAAGGGCTCAAATTGCCTTTACGAATTAAAAGGAGATTTGGGACCTGTAATGCTTATTAAGAAAATATTTCATGACAATTTTGAAAATTTCGAAATTGCAACGATTTGTATGGAAAACCATGCAAGCGTGACTGGATGGCAAAAGTTGTTTTTCTCATACAAACGCTTCCAACTTTCGGCGGCCGTTGCTATCGCTACGTTTGAGATATACGGCTGAAAATTCTTAGATTACCTAATTTTAATATGCTCTTTCAGCTTGTGATAACAAAATCTTTCAAAAGTGCATTGTTTTCGTGTTTACCGAAAGTTGATCACGTGATCAAGTCGTGCAAAGAGCCTATTTCTGTCAAAAATAAATCGCACACGACCAGATCTCAGTTCCACTTCCTTTATTTCCTCTACAACAACACTTTCCTTATGTAAAGTTAACTCCACACCTTCTCCAGGAACGTAACTAACTAACATCAGTACACTCCCTTACAAAACTTGCTGAAAATGCAAAATCTCCACACAGGGGATAATTCAGGTAGGACGTCTCAACATGCGAGATAAATACCGAGAACGTAGGCATTAATCCGTACGTGTATACCTCCCGAGGGTCGTAGAAAACTCTAATTTAGCATAGTTGTCGGCGAGAAAAAGAAACTTTGATTACTTAATATTCTTCATTGACGCTTTGCGTTGAATAACGACTTACTACCTGTTGCGCACAGCTAAAAGTATGAGCAAATTCTTTTATAACATAGCTGACAAAAATGCTTGCTTTTTGATTAACTGCCAAATTGTCGTAACCCTCTCCACAGAGAAACAAACGCTTCTATTGGCTGGTTACAAACACGCCACAATCGCCTAGTTTGAAGGAAAATTCTTTCTGTAAAACTGAGAAAGAAAATTTGCTTATATATTCGTTAACGATCAATTGAAACTAAGCAGAAACAAAGAAGATGAAAGTGTCTTAAAGTCCACCTAAAGTTAAAATACTCACATGTTCGTAAGACGTCGTGGGGTATGGATTGGATCCGGCGCTGAGAAGATGTTTATGTTTTGCTCGGCGAAATCCAGAAAACTTGTTTTTTAGCGAAGATGACTGTCATCCTACTTTATATTCATTTACGAACAATGGCTGGTCATCACGGCTACTTGAGAAGACCTGGCAGCAGTTGTTTTTGTGGGTAATAAATTTATGTCTTCTTGTGTAATTTGTCTTGTTATTGCAAGAGAAATTTTCCTGATTTTAGTCGGATTGTTCAGTGATAACAAAAGTACATAACAAATTTAAAAACAACAATAAAAACGGAAATTTTACCTTTAAATGTTGTTAATGGCCAATTGGTGTCTTTTCTGTTCCCAGTGAATGTCTTTCGGCCAATAATTGCTGGCTTTATTTATGCTGCTTGTTGGATCAGGACCTAAAAGGTCAACGCCGATTGAAAATTGGGCAGTTCTTCGCTGGTTTCTTCCATATTTTAAAGAGAAGGAAAACTGCTCTGCAACTTAATATAAAAGACGACAACTTTGCAGCCAGGTAAAAAAAATGCTCACGTCATCTTATGTACGCACGGGCGTGCGTAAATAAAGATTTTGTTCATAACGGCTCAATAAGACTTATATAGGGCAAGCACGCGCGCTATATATGTTTTACTAAGTTTTCCTCTAACATCTGATTAGATTATGAAAGAAAGACAACCAAATCGTGATGTGATGCATCACACCATTTTGGCTACAGTTAATATATAAGCTGTGTTTTGCATTGTTACTGTTAAGTAAGATTTTATTTCTATGCCTACATTGTATTTTTCCGTTCCCTATTTTTCCTGTACACATTGACGTTGTTGACAAATTAGCTTTCTTATCTGAGTAACGGAAGTTTTTTACACAATACCCTCGATAAGGGATCCCGTCCAGTTCCAGAGGAATGGAATATTCTCAGTAAACCTTTCTGCTTTCCTCGGCAAGATGGGTAGATGCAATATTCAAATCAATTGAATGTAAAATGTTGAGTGAATAAATCACTATTTCACGAGTCGGAAGTCCATTTAAGTGGAATACTTTAAGTGGATGACTTGAAACTCATGTTTTGGACTGCAACGTTGATCTTGAAAGCTCGGTGTAAAGATTTCCGATTATTCTCCCACAAAGCTGTTTAGTTCCAGGTAAGATATGGTTGAAATACAAATTCGCCGCGCTTTTCCCGGGCGTATTTGCAGCTTGGCAGCCAGGCTCGTACCCAGACTCCTGCCCTTCCAGAATGTCCGTAAAAATAGCATCTGCAGTCCGGAGTACAGGAGTGCAAGTCTGATGCTCAAACATCTCCCTGTCAGTTGTCTGAAGTACTCAGTGCGAGAAAATTACGCCTAAGTTTTAAAAGACAATGCGTTGGTTGCTCGTTTTGTTCAACCGAGGGTCTCTTTGAACATACTGTACATCCCCACTACTTGTCACGAAATAGTTCATCTATGACCGTTACTGAAGGAGATCTATATTCAACGAAACTACTACGAATTCGATTCTGTGTGGTTTAGTGTTGAAAAAATAGTGATTGGAAGCAGGTTGAGATATTCTTTGTGGATAATAGCTGTATTGCGCATACTCAGAAGAATCCCATGAATAGCAAATACAAGTCGGTGTGGAAGTCCCGTGTGAATAGCTACTGGAAAAAAAAAACATCCAGCCGACCTTTAATAAAATTTCATCGATAAAAAAAAAATTCTTGTTTTAAAAGACCGTTAACAGTCAAATAACTGAGAACTTGCTCAACACAGCAGCTGTTAGTTTTTGATAACTCACTAGTCTTACTCGGAGCTCCCGGAAAAACACCTCAAGAAGCCATCCCCCCCCCCCCCAACCCCTTGGAAATTGCGTTTTTTGGACCCCCCTCCCCTCGGAATTTTTACCCTCCGTAGGTGGGGTATGGATATTTTCTGGAACTAGACAATGGATCATCATAATACCTTTGATTCTAGAGTTAAGACTGGTGTTTATGTATTTACATGACGTGAAGAATGATGTTGTAGTCATATCATCAGTATTTTGGTGTGGTCAACGTCTTCTTGAGTTCTCGGCGGTTAATCAAAAAATTTCGATTTTCCTTTCCTTATTGCGCGGCCTTAATCTTCCGGTTCATTTTCATAACGTGCTGCCTAACAACTTTTCAAGAAACTAGGTTTTACGTCAACCGTCCCATAATGGAAAAAAGGATGGAAGAGTGACGCCAATAGAAGAAGATGTCGCGGTAATACTTTTGAAAAAGAGGGGAAATGTAGAAATATAGGCTTACTGTGCAAGTGCTGGATCTAAAAAAGCTGTTTCAGTTTGTTGTTTACGTAAAACCTATCGCGTATGATCGTTTTCACCAAGCATATAACAACGCCAGCACTAACAGAAGAACAACACAAACTCTGAGATTGCCAAGAATTTAATGATCAAAATTGGAACAAAAATTCTCAGTTTCAACAAAATGAATAAAACAGCAAAGTTATTCTACAGTTATTTTAAGAAAAAGAAATACGTTTCAAACATAACTTCGTAGATCCTAGTACATGCACTTCCAGAAGAAAAACCAACGAGTTAATTTTTACGAACAAAAAATTCCTAGCCCCATGGATGGCGAGGATGGGATCCCGGTCCGCGCCCTGGGTCAACCTACCCCGTTGGATTTACATTTGGATCTTGAAAGGAATCCCGACATATTCAGAATGATTAGCTTTATTTGACATCTTAAGACTTAAAAGCTTGAATAGCTGTTAAAAAACCTACGCTAACCTAGTTATTTTCCTTTACGGCTTAAGCTTGTGCTCGATGTTGTGGGTACCTGAACAAAAATCACGAAGAATAAACGTTTACCAGCCATTAAGTGGTGCTATTCTTTTTTTCTTTAGCTTAACCTACACTTCTCGGAGTAATGTCTTCAGTAAAAAATGTCTTTTAACGGGAAGGGTCTACCTTAAATATGCTGAGCTAAATTATTCTTGAATATGATTGCCTGTAAATGACGTGCAGCTGGCATATAACCATTGGTGTTACCATACAGCACTGTCCTAGATATAAAGAATATACAGCAAAGTGCATGTGAAGAGGGACACAACGCTGACAGAAGCAAATGAGCCAGCATTACACAAATTTCCTTCACAGCAATGAAATTCGCAGGTGTCATCAGATCCACAGGCCTGGCCGTACAGATCTTTTTCCTTTTTACAGGACGTTTCAGTTTGGCATCCCTTTCGATACACCATGACTTTCTTTCCTTGCATGATCAATTCAGTGGTAAACTTGCCGCACTTTGTTTGTCCTTCTGCGCAGCGTCCAGACGTAGTTTTTTGCACGCAGTCGTCCATTGATTTTGCGCTTTCACACATATAGCACTTCAAGTTGTCACCTGATAGTTATTATAAATGAAATATATAATAATTTTTGACTCTGAAGATGTTATACCGCACAGTTTGTCGAAAAGTTAATCTGTGTCAACAACAGTCCTATTTAGGACCACACTCACAGGCACGATCATATCCCACCCACTTATAAATATATAATCAGCTGTCAACAAAGTACAAGATATTGTGGAGTTTTATTGTTTAATTTCCGAAAAAAGTGAAGCCTCCAGAGACTGCCGTCCTCAAAGAGACGCAAAACGAGGCTCCCTTGTGTCTGTAAGACACTATGACACTCTTATAGATTTCGAAATTTGCTGTGATGGTCACCTGATACAACATCAGCAAGCAACTAAGTTAGTGAATGAAAGTAAAGAGCTTGTTGGACGGGGCTGGATGAGGTTGTTAAAACTTTGGAGCCCATTCCCCGGCATAGTAAATCGAACCCAATCGAACTAAATTTCAATCGAACTAAATCGAACTCAATCGAACTCAATCGGTGGATTGAGTTCGATTGAGTTCGGCAATCGAACGAAATCGAACTCACCGAAAAGAAAAAAAATCAATCGAACCCAATCGAACGTTCGATTTTCGAACTCGTGATTTATGTAAAACAGACGTTGAAAATCCATTACCAGATCTTAGAAGCTCGAGCTACTTCAGCCCTGAGTGTAGCGCACGTGTTTTTCGTAAACGAAGAAATTCCGCAGAAATGGCTTCAGATGCGTTGTGGATCGTAAGCTTCAAATGTATAGTCAAAGGCTACTAGGAATGCCGCTTTGATGTCAAGGATGGCGAAGTTTTCAGGGTTTTAAAGAAAATAGGCGAGAAAGGCCGTGCCTTAATTCCGAATTGCAAACGAGCGCGGACAATTAGGTCACCTTCAACGTGAACTGGTTGCTTCCCTGTGGCCTGTAAATGCTTCGATAACTTGGTAAGTGAAGATGTTTGTAAGGGATTCGCGAATATATTAATTTGCCTCAAGTAGTTAATATTGTGCAACCCTTATGAAAAACAGGGGAAGCAAAACTTATGCATACTTTTCACCTTTAGTAGGGTCTGTGGGCCACCATTTGATGATCCTAAAGGTCGCTGGCAAAGAGGAGGTGGTATCAATGTCCCAATTATCCTAAAGTTTTCAACAAGGCGAGCCGAAGCATTGAATGTATACTGTAAAGGAACTCGTGAATAAATAGTAAAAAAAGCGCAAGAAAAACTTGCTTTGACGGGCTTGCTTTGGGCTTGCTTTGTATAGGTTCACCAGACCCAATCGAACGAAATCCATTTAATTGTGTTCGATTGAGTTCGGTTTCCGAACTCAATCGAACACAATCAGACGGATTGAGTTCGATTGAGTTCGATTTGTTCGATTGAATTCGATTTGTTCGGAAATCGAACTCACTGAAAGTGTGGTGTTCGATTTCGTTCGATTGCCGAACTCAATCGAACTCAATCCACGGATTGAGTTCGATTGAGTTCGATTGAGTTCGATTTTCGAACGTTCGATTTACTATGCCGGGCCATTCAAACGGATTCAAAAGACCCCTTAAGGTACCACAATGTTGCTTTTTCTCCAGGTTGCCGTTCTCGTGCCATATGACTTATGAACATGTTAAGGGCCAATTTAAAACGGACTAGGCTCTTTGCAGCTTGTCATTCACGAAGTACAAAACCGCCGTGCTGGAGAGCAAGGGACGCACTGGGACAAGACAAACAAAAGGCAGACATAATTTTAGATGGTAATTTCTTTTGTTTGTCTTGTCCCAGTGCGACTTTTGTTCTCCAGGATGGCGTTTTCTACCGCGTGAATGGCTAGCTGTAAAGGGCCTCTTGTACCCTACTATCCGCCGGTCATCCTGAAGATGATCTTAAGTAGGATTAACAACAATGAAATTCAGTTTGGATATTAAATCTAAGAGAAGCACCATACTTTTTGCTAGAGGTCTATTGCAAGACGTTGTGTTGCAGCATTCGGACGTACACGTTGCCCTGGCGTTGTCTTCCCCGACCGCTGTACAAGATGCCTCAGCCGCCCTGCAGTCGAGAGAAGATGCGCACCCGTATATACCAGATTCTTTGCCGTCTTTGCTCATCATCTTTTTCAGGCATCTGTCCCGGCCGGTTTCACAAGTAACGTTTTTAGCGCTCATGCTGTTACATTCCTGAATGCTACCACTGCACTGGAAACATTTAAAGGTAACACCTGTAGGAAAATGTTCCATGTTGGTTAGCCGGTACTAATCAATGTATGTTTTCTGTTATATTAACTCAAGCCTCGTTGTCAAGAATGATATTAAATATGTTAAAATTGGTCTTATTGGTTCTAATCTTCTCAATCAATCGTTCGAGGTTTAAATCCCGCGAAAACTAGAGGCGCGAAATTCTTAGTTCAGTTCCGAAATAAATGCTTGATACTTTTTGTGGCAATATATATGGCCGAATTTTTGATAATGTTATCGCCAAATGGGCCTTAAGCGTCCAACAGTTTTTTTAGGTAAACCTATCTCCAAAGTAGCTATTATAGTAGCTTTTATTAGTTTATTTTAATCACCTTTGAGGTGACCGGTTATGTCGGCTGATTCTTTGATACCAGACAAAAACGTCTCCAAACCGCTGGTGTGTTTCAATTCAAGCATGTCACCATAAGGTACTGTGGCCAGCTTTTCCCGTCCGATTTTAATTGCGTTATTAGTCAGTAAATTTCATGGGAGGGGGAACTAATTTCTGCACCAATATATATTATCTCTTAACCTTTTTCCAAGGAGGGAAAAACCTTTTGGCTAAAGATATTGTTGATAATGTATATTGCTGTACTCTGCGAACAAAAGCCCTATCTCTGAGTTTCTGAGAAACCGATGTAAAAGGCTCCTGGTTTTATTAATCTCTGACAGCAGTTGTTAAAGGCATTTAGGTAGGCGGTAAAACTACAAAGGGTAATGAGCTGTAGGCCCGGTTCAGACGTCGAACTTTTCTTTTGCCGAACCTAATACAATGAATTAACTACATGAAAAGTTCGGCGTCTGAATCAGCCTTGGTGTATTTTGTCTTACATTCCGCGGTTTGAGAACTAAATCGTGCGTGAAGTTACAATGGTGAAGGAAAAGTGATATAGCCATGCAGACGATGAACACTGAGTTAGAATAACGTTCATTGCCTGATGAATTCTTGTACAAAATAACATGGTCTCTCGAGGCTTGAATAAAGTCCCGTCCGGTCGTCCGGGACAAGTCACTTTTAAACCTCACTTGTCCGATGGCAAGGGGCCAAGTATGTCATCCTCTAACTAAATCATTAGCTAAAACAAGCAAGAAGTGGTCCCGGGCAAGTCAAAATGTGAAAGTTGTTTGTCCAAACGACAAGCTGGAATTTTACCCGTTTTCGAGCCTGGTCTCTGCTTTGTATAAAGAGACCGTTAACCGGCAAGTCAGTTCTAAGACTGCTGAAAAAAAAAAAATGGCGATGTTCTAGTGCATTTAAAAAAACATTTCAATATGTTCAGCAAGAGCTGTCAAATCACGGTTGTTTCTAAGCACGAAAAGAAAACTATAGCACTGGAAAAAAAAAACTTGCAAAAGTTTATGTAATATTTTATGAAAAAATGACGATATTCATAACTTGGAAACTCTAATTTAGCATAGTTGTCGGCGAGAAAACGAAATTTTGACTATTTAATATTGGCTGTGTTTTCACTAGGACAATTTTAACTAGATAAAGCAGGAAAAGTCCGGAAATACAGTGAAAACACCTCGTCTTGGTTTTAACTAGTTAAAAAATGCGAGCTGTTTTCACAAGCAAAAACAAGGGATTTTCTCACCTTTACGAGCGGAAATTCACGCAGAGTTATACTACCTCGCTAGATGGTATAACTTGTCCTGATAAACGCCATAGCCAATCGGGTCGCGCGTAATGACAGACGCCTGCCAAACAATCTGGTAATATTATTTTCCAGACTATTGCCTCTTAGTTGAGCTTGAGAAATTCAACATGGTAGACAATTCCAACAGTCATTTCTTTCGATTTACAATCCCACCGACCCCATTGGATTCTCCATTTCTTTGGCTAGTCCTTAAACCAGAATTGTGGTCTTGGATAAACCCACATAGTCTTGCGCTTATCCCAATTATGGCACTGAATGTTGTTTCGTTGTTGGAATTGACAGAATTAAAAGATTTCGTCGCATCTTCCTCATTTGTAAGGACATGCGCCTCATTTGCTGAATAAAACTCCTTCTCCTTTGCAAGAATACAGCGAAAATAATCACAAGAGAAGTCATTACAAGCACTTCGTCCCCTTTCATTTTTTATTATGACGCTTTTGCAATTTGAATCCTCTGAGTTAGTGGCTTAGATTGCCGGTTAAATTTCACAGTGAAAACAGTTGTCACGTTTAACTAGTAAAATTCGGTTTGTAAACAAATCCTAGAAAGAATGTTGAGCTCGTTAATCGCCCTAGTGAAAACACACTTGTTCATTTCTTTTCCGCTAGCATCAGTGGAAAGACCAAAAACTAGACTGATGCTCAAGGCCTCTGAATGAAAATTGCATAGAAACTTACCGAGTCAAAAAGAACTCTGTCATTAAATTAAGTTTTTTAGTCTCTTAGGCAAGTTGTTTTTATGAGCACGTTTTGTTACTGACACGTTTAAAAAAGACTACGTTGCCGATATTAAAAGTCTATTCATTGTTTACTTGATACAGACTTACCCTTTTCTGCGCAGAGAAACAAAGCCGTGATTAGGAGAATAATTTGCTCCATCGCCATCTTGGATTATATACTCGATTAAAGTCCGATAGAAGTTTTGGCGGACAGATTTCTTCTTAAAAGGGTTCTAGGCTCGCATACTCAAGCGTTTTTCACGAAAGGTTATCTCTCGCTTACGGTAATGACCTACGACGATAAGTGAATTCACTAAACAGCATGATTATTCAGATTTCGGTTTCGAAAGCTTAAGGCCTTTTATTTGTTCTTGCTCGTTGTCAAGAATGATAGAGCGGTTTTCACTTGACTGTTGTAAAACAAAAACCAAAGTAAATACACTAGCCAACCAAAGGGCGTAGTAAAACCAAAACCAAACCAATTCCTCAATTACTTTCGACAGTCAAGTGAAAACTGCTCTATTAAATGTGTTAAAATTGGTCTTATTGGTTCTAATCTTCTCAATCAATCGTTCGAGGTTTAAATCCCGCGAAAACTAGAGGCGCGAAATTCTAGCCCTGTTCTGTTCCGAAATAAATGCTTGATACTTTTTATGGCAATATATATGGCCGGATTTTTGATAATGTTATCGCCAAATGGGCCTTAAGCGTCCAACAGTTTTTTTAGGTAAACCTATCTCCAAAGTAGCTATTATAGTAGCTTTTATTAGTTTATTTTAATCACCTTTGAGGTGACCGGTTATGTCGGCTGATTCTTTGATACCAGACAAAAACGTCTCCAAACCGCTGGTGTGTTTCAATTCAAGCATGTCACCATAAGGTACTGTGGCCAGCTTTTCCCTTCCCATTTTAATTGCGTTATTAGTCAGTAAATTTCATGGGAGGGGGAACTAATTTCTGCACCAATATTGTCTCTTAACCTTTTTGCAAGGAGAGAAAAACCTTTTGGCTAAAGATATTGTTGATAATGTATATTGCTGTACTCTGCGAACAAAAGCCCTATCTCTGAGTTTCTGAGAAACCGATGTAAAAGGCTCCTGGTTTTATTAATCTCTGACAGCAGTTGTTAAAGGCATTTAGGTAGGCGGTAAAACTACAAAGGGTAATGAGCTGTAGGCCCGGTTCAGACGTCGAACTTTTCTTTTGCCGAACCTAATACAATGAATTAAGTACATGAAAAGTTCGGCGTCTGAATCAGCCTTGGTGTATTTTGTCTTACATTCCGCGGTTTGAGAACTAAATCGTGCGTGAAGTTACAATGGTGAAGGAAAAGTGATATAGCCATGCAGACGATGAACACTGAGTTAGAATAACGTTCTTTGCGTGATGAATTCTTGTACAAAATAACATGGTCTCTCGAGGCTTGAATAAAGTCCCGTCCGGTCGTCCGGGACAAGTCACTTTTAAACCTCACTTGTCCGATGGGCAAGGGGCCAAGTATGTCATCCTCTAACTAAATCATTAGCTAAAACAAGCAAGAAGTGGTCCCGGGCAAGTCAAAATGTGAAAGTTGTTTGTCCAAACGACAAGCTGGAATTTTACCCTTTTTCGAGCCTGGTCTCTGCTTTGTATAAAGAGACCGTTAACCGGCAAGTCAGTTCTAAGACTGCTGAAAAAAAAATGGCGATGTTCTAGGAGGGTGTGAATGGGGTTAACCGACTAGCGACAAAGGGCGAAAAATATTACTGACTACCGACAAAACGAGTAAAAAATTACCGACTACCGACAGGAAAAATATTAACCGACTACCGACATGGGCTGACATTATCAATATTTGTTTCAGAAAAAAAGAGCATTTTGCACTTTTTTCCAGCCGTTAGGAAGTAACTTCTTTAAATTTATGACTCATCAGATGGTCTAACAGAAAGAACTTCCTCTTTTGTTGATACGGATACATTACTACAACCAATATCATAATCACAGAAGCCACAGTCCTTAAAGATGCTACCGACTTTATATATTTTATTGAAAAGACAAAGGTGAAAAAACTGAACATTTCTTGTTTCGGTCCGAGAAATGCTTAGATTAATCCTGAAAGAAAATTCTTTCCAATTAATGGAAAGCACTGTCAGTAAGAAACCACAGTACCGCGATAAGCACATGCAGCAGTTTCCTTTTCAACATTTTCATGGCCGCATATATTGAAACACAAAGTTTAAGCAAAATCGTTTTTAAACCAACTGTTTGAAAATGCTACATAGTTGATATTTTTTCCCTATGGGATATAAGTAAACCAGACATGGTAGATTTCTTCAAATTCACGGAACAAGTAAACTTACTTCTCCTTACTGCTCTACTGGTTATGAAATTTACGCCCGAAATATCTGACACTGAGACAATCTTTTTAGACCCCGTTGTAAACTAAGGCACAACATTCAACGAAAAATGAGAAAAAGCTATCATTGACGTAAAGAAGATTTTAAACGGAAACCTTCCAGTATATACATTTTCACCTCTTACCACCCACCCTGCCCACCGAATGTTAAAATGGATTTGACCAACAAGAAGCCTTGAGTATCCTACGAACAAACTCCTTTGAGGAAGTATTTCAGATTTCAAAAAGCGGTTGATGGACAGAAGCTGGCCACACAATTTTGAAATAAAAATTGCTATTAGAAGTAAAACTCACAGGAGAAAAGCAGCGCTCCTGAAACAAAACAACAAGGAAGAAAAAGAAATATTGCCTTTCGTGATACAATACAAGCCCTTAGTGTCTATTATAAAAGAAACTTTAATGTAAAAGTGTAATCACATACAAAACCAACTACCTTGCCAACTTAACCCTCAGACGTAAGCGCAAAATCATACCCCCCACCATGGTACAAGAGGATGGTAGATGGAACCCCTCCCCAGAGTTTTTGATATGTTGCAGTATTTCGAAGCGATTTTGCCTTCACTGAAAAGCCTTTGATCTTCTTAACAAGATGAGGTATACTTTATGAATGGTGGCACTGCTGGAGGCCTGTTACGTCACCAACAATGGTCGCCATCTTGGATATTACAAAGAGTTCGAAATCAGGTTAAAACAAAGAGAAATGGTAATTGCTTGACATAAATAATAACACATAAATAAGCACTTTGCATGATTTTAGCTACAAGATTTTTCTTTCATTGTTGAAAACAGTTGAAAAAAACATATATTTTCACTCAAAATGGCTTGACAACCTGCTACTTATTACGTCATACCTCATAACCATAGAAACTGATCATCACTGAACTTGTCTCAAAATGCGTGCGAAGGATAAACGAACATCTACTGAAAACGTCAGGTGCTGATGTTTTGTCCTCTTGGAAAAATCCCAGAAAACCTTAACGGGGGTGGCATCCACCCCCCCCCCCCCTTGTATGTCCCCTTTCCCGAGTAGATATATAAATAGAACGGCTTGTTTCCCGCGAAAAGTGTCATATTTCCGTGAGTCTCGTATGTCACCGTGAAAAAAATGAAGTTGGATGAAGTCGAACTGCGATCTCAGAAGCCCGTCCTTCGACCGTTTTCCTTTTTTACTATACGTCCATTTTTACAGTTTTACAGCCGCTGGGATCTGGGATGAAATAAAAGTTAATGAATTACCCGCCTGAGACTGAGCATGAAGCGATGGGATCAAGGCAGCGAACTGAGGATCACGGAAAGGTTCTACTTTGTTTTGTTTTGCCGTCATACATCCCACATTTAAGCATGCACCTTGAAAAGAGTCGACGATTAAGCGTTCTGTGGACGATTTGAAACTTTTCGATGATCAGCGCCGAAAAAGTGCCAGGATCATTTGATTTTTGTCATCGCCGTGGAGTGGATTCTGGATTTCGTCAGTTAAGCACCGCGTGCAAAAGCGATGACGTAAGTAGCTCTAAGAAGCAACTAAGGAGGAATGCTTAAGAAAAATTGCAGTCTTCCTTTACAACTGACTTGTATCACCATGAGAATTGCCTGATAAAACTGGCACTTGAAAAGTTGAACAGAAGACAACAGTTGCTCGACCGTAAAGCTAACTCAAAAGTAATTTGCTAACGGTGAGATTTGTGACATCGCGCTCCAGTCCAAAGACCCTCTTATCTCAAGAAAAACAAAATGGATTGTATCTGCGCCAAAAGAATTATGACTGACTAACAGGAGAATTCGCAGCAATTAATGTAGAAGTTTAGGCCAATTCTTTCCTTCGAATTCGCATCTGTAGATCACTTTTTTGGCGAGAAAACAATGGCTGGGCTCGGCGTTACAAAACATAGCAGGGAATCATCACACTAACTAGCGGACAAGACAACCACAGTGTTTATTCAGAAAAACGCATTTCGGAAAAAAACTTGAAAAACTAGAAATTTCATTAATATTGAGTCATTTAGCCGAAATAAGAACCTTAACGCTCAAGAAAATGGGCTAAAGAAATAAAACGAATCCTGTCAGAACTACAGACTGCAGGTAGTAGTTAATCATTACGCATGTAACAGACCAGCTTCATGGCCTCTTAATGTGAGACAAGCAACCAAAATGAAGATTAACATAGTCAAAGTTTAAAACTCTCCACAGTATAATCTATTCGCTAGAAAGAAGAGAAAGAAAATCTCTGAGGGATGAAAACGCTAAAGTCACGTTTTACTAGCTTATGATTTTGTTTGGCCTGTCAGCACCGGATTTCCTGCTGTTTCATGAAGTACAATAGCAGTGTCATTTAGTCGTTGTGATTGGCTCTTCCCACCGTCGGCGCGCGAAGTCTCCCCTGAGAACCGTTCTAATTATAAATCTACTCGGGAAAGGGTTGACTCCAAGGGCTTGTATGGGAGATGGAGGCTCCATTTGATGGGCTCCTGCCGAGGGTTAAAGTGTTATTTCGTTGAGGAAGGAAAATTATGGCAAAGGATAGATGTGCAGCCTGTCACCCCTTGCAGTTTTTCACTAGGCTGATAATTTAAGTATCCAAAAGACTAGAGTCAATTAATTAATTAATTACTTTTTACTGTGCCGTGTAATCGACAGAGAAACCAAGTTCGCATTTACAGTAAAAGGTTTGGTGATCTTATCAGTACGCATGATATTCATTTGGCAAACAATGGTGAAATAAACGACCACAGAAGCCGATCGGCTCCTGACGATCGTTTATGAAGTTTAAGTGCAACTTATAAGTTTTACTCTTTCCCTAGGGATCAAAGTCTTGAAACTTGGTGAAATACATAAAAAATATTAATAATTAACAAGCGTTTTTACTTATTAACTGAGATTTTCGGACAACCGACAAAAATCAAGAAGTTTAACCGACTACCGACAAAGATCGAAAATTTTAACCGACTTCCGACAAAGTAACTGAATTTTAACCGACAAATGGACCCCCCATTCAGACCCTCTTCTAGTGCATTGAAAAAAACATTTCAATATGTTCAGCAAGAGCTGTCAAATCACGGTTGTTTCTAAGCACGAAAAGAAAACCATAGCACTGGAAAAAAAAAACTTGCAAAAGTTTATGTAATACTTTATGAAAAAACGACGATATTCATAACTTGGAAACTCTAATTTAGCATAGTTGTCGGCGAGAAAAAGAAACTTTGACTATTTAATATTCTTCATTGACGCTTTGCTTTGAATAACGACTTACTACCTGTTGTTTATTCGTAAGTGTTGCTACGGACATTTGTTCATTTCTTTTCCACTAGCATCAGTGGAAAGACCAAAAACTAGACTGATTCTCAAAGCCTATGAATGAAAACTGCATAGAAACTTACCGAGTCAAAAAGAACTCTGTCATTAAATTAAGTTTTTTTTATTCTTCTTAGGCAAGTTGTTTTTATGAGCACGTTTTGTTACTGACGCGTTTAAAAAAGACTACATCGCTGATATTAAAAGTCTATCCCTTGTCTACTTGATACAGACTTACCCTTTTCTGCGCAGACAAACAAAGCCGTGATTAGGAGAATAATTTGCTCCATCGCCATCTTGGATCATATACTCGATTAAAGTCCGGTAGAAGTTTTGGCGAACAGATTTCTTCTTAAAAGGGGTCTAGGCTTGCATACTCAAGCGTTTTTCATGAAAGGTTATCTCTCGCTTACGGTAATGACCTACGACGACAAGTGAATTCACTAAACAGCATGATTATTCAGATTTCGGTTTCGAAAGCTTAAGGCCTTTTATTTGTTCTTGCTCATGGCCGTGATCGTAAATTACTTTCAACCACGTTATGTCATACAGCACGTTCACGTACACAACAGGTGTTGTTATGTCTACAGAAAATGGAAACCTGTAATTACAGTCGCGACTTCTTACTGGCTCTTCAAAGTTGTTATCTCCTTCCAACTATTGACAAACCAACACGTGTTCACAAAAATTTTGCAAGCTTAATCGATAACATTTTTGTGAACAATTCTGAGCAGGTGCTAATCAGCGGTAATCTCATTACTGATGTCAGCGATCATTTTTCGCAGTTTTGTATTTTGACATCAACAAGAGATAAAATTAAACGGAAGCAAATTAAAAAACGCGATCTTTCGCATTTCAATCCCGATAGTCTTAACAGCGACCTTGCTACGATCGACTGGAGTTGCATCATTAAAACGCACGCAAATAATGTAGACGAGCTATTTTCAACTTTCTATAGAAATTTTAATAAAATTATTAATAAACATGCACCGATTAAAACCCTTTCTCGACGTAGGATTAAACAGTTTTCTAAGCCTTGGATTACAAAAGGTATAAGAACGTCAATCAACGAAAAAAACAGACTGTACCAAATTGGCAATCAGGAAAAGTATAAATATTATCGAAATAAAATTTGCATTCTTATACGTTTGAGTAAGAAACACTATTACTTCGCCTTTTGTAATAACAATTTAAGTAATATGAAAAAAACATGGCAAGGCATAAATGAATTATTAAATCGCTGCAAAAGAAAGTGTAAATCTGTTAGTAAATTAAAAGACCCAGATAACAACAATAACCTTACTAATGATTCCTCGCGTGTACCTAATATCTTCAATAAACATTTTTCAAATGTTGGCAACATCTTAGCAAGCAAACTACCACCTGCAGAGCGTCCCTTCATAGACTACCTAAGAAACTCTAGTTCGCCAGAACTTTCGTTTTTCTTCAGACCTGTAACTCCATCCGAAATTCAATTTCAAATTTTATCTATACCAAACAGCAAATCGCATGGCTTATACTCCTGTCCTACTCAACTTCTTAAATACTCAAGCGAAGTCATATCTCCAGTTCTTTCAGATATTCTCAATACATCTGTCTCTCTTGGGGCTTACCCCCCAAAACTTAAAATATCAAAAATTATACCTATCTCCAAAGCTGACGACGAGACCGACACTTCTAATTATAGGCCAATTTCATTATTATCAAATTTCAATAGAATGTTCGAAAAAATTATGTACGACAGAATGAGAGACTTTATTGAAAAGCACAGCCTATTATATTCGTCTCAATATGGTTTTCGTCAAGCTCACTCAACCCAACATGCTATTCTTGATATGGTAGAAACTATACAAACCAATATGGACAAAAAACTCTTTTCATGTGGTGTTTTTATTGACTTAAAAAAAGCCTTTGACACTGTGGATCATAGTATTTTACTTAAACTAAATTATTATAGCTTCCGTGGAATTCTCAATGAATGGTTTTCCTCTTATTTATTAAATCGCACACAAAGTACTGAAATCTCGTATATCTAGTAAACTAAATATCAATTGCGGAGTACCCCAAGGTTCTGTCCTAGGTCCACTTCTCTTCTTGCTTTATATTAATGACATCCAATATTGTTCGAGCAAACTCCAATTTTTCCTTTTTGCTGATGACACTAATGCTCTTTATGCTCATAAAGATTTAAAGACACTGGAACTAACAGTAAATGCAGAATTACACAACTTGTATAACTGGCTGACTTCAAACAAACCTTCCCTGAATATTAAAAAGTCAAAGTATGTCATTTTTCGTCCGTACCAAAAAAAACTCAACTATGATCCCCAGGTTAATATTTTTGACAATGAAAGCAATAACGGCGCGAACGCGAATGCTTCGTATAACGTGACAATATCTTTCCAGTCATAACTTAACTATACATCTCGCAGCTTTTTTTCTGGAGAAACATTGAACGGAAACACTTCCCAACTGTAAAAGGAATGATCAGACGCCTACCACTCTTGTTGATCAAATAAGCAATCGAACGTGGCTGGATGTTGCCGGATGTTTACTAGATTCATGAATCAATGCATGGCTCTGTACCATGATTAGACATGTTTGGAAAACATCATTATCTTACTAGTTTTCAATAAAACTTGACTCCAGCTGGAGGACATTAAAAATCTCAAATAAGTCTGTCTTTCTTCTCTAGATGACCATCCTGGTGAGACAAAATGGAGGCCATTTTCTGGAACAGCAAAGATGAACAGTATCACCTACTAACTATGCCAGACAAGAAAAGAAGTAGCCTCAGGCTATAATTCAAGCCACAGGGCTGACAAACCCATTTCTTAGTCTTTTGCAGAGTGTTTTAAGAATTATGCCACAGTTATTGTGTAATCAACGGTTGACACTTGAAGTGGAGTGAATAGACCTAGCCAACCTAGCAAAGTGGATAAAGCGATGGAAGATATGTATCTTATTGGATGGTTTGGTGTGTAGTATCGTGGGATATTTTTACGAGTCACGCCTTATTTTGGCGAGCCCGTTGGGCAAGTCAAAATACAAGAGACGAGTAAAAATGTCCCTCGATACTACACACTAAACCGTTCAGTAAGAGATTTATTAATCAACTCGAAGGAGTATAAAATGGAACTCAGTAAAAATGCTGACGCTTGCCTACTTACAACGAGAATGCGTGACAGACTAACGTGAGTCCTGTTTTCGCGCGCTTTCATCAACGCTATTGCTGACTACTGGTCAGAAATAAAAACTTGTCAAACTGGTTTGCTCTGTAAATCAATATTTTTCGGGTTTTTTTGTCGGCGTTTCGAGGTTCTATCTTTGAAACATTTGCTATGTAAACAGAGATAGAATGAAAAATAATCGTGAGGCTTATGATGGTCTTTCGCTTACGTAAAATTAAACGGACTGCAAGCAGAGCAATTTGCGATTGGAAACACGGATTCTCCCACAAATTCAAGGAGTTTCAAAGAGCTACTCGTAGACAAAGGACTTGAAACCTCATCCTCGCCGGGTTACACTAACAAAAACACAACGTCTAAAGTTTAACATGTCGAGTCTCCTCACATTTTAAAAGAACGAGAGGTGAAGACTCTTCAGTTCCTGGGCGGGGATTATATTAAATGGACGTTTTTTTTTCTTTCACGGATTTTCGCCATCACCATCTCTCTGACATAACTTCAGGTCTGTTTTCATCTTACGTTTTTATCTTGAGCGTATAAAGTTTGTATGTCCTATCTTTTTTTCAATAAATGTCGACATTTCATTGTCGAGTGTTCAGGCGACTTTAGTCTAGAAACTTGGTTTATTTAAACTTACAATTTGGTTCCGAGTCAAAAAAAACTCTGTCATTAAACTAGTTTTTTTTAGTCACTTAGGCAAGTTGTTTTTATGGGCACGTTTTGTTACTGACGCGTTTACAAAAGACTACGTTGCCGATATCAAAAGTCTATTCATTGTTTACTTGATACAGACTTACCCTTTTCGGCGCAGAAAAGCAAAGCAGTGATTAGGAGAATAATTTGCTTCATCGCCATTTTGGATCATATACTCGATTAAAGTCCGGCAGAGATTTTAGCGAACAAATTGTTTCTTAAAAGGGGTCTAGGCTCGCATAAGCAAGCGTTTTTTATGAAAGGTAATCTCTTGCTTACGGTTATTGACCTACGACTTAAAGAGAATTCACTAAACAGCATGATTATTCAGATTTCGGTTTCGAAAGCTTAAGGCCTTTTATTTGTTCTTGCTCATGGCCGTGATCGTAAATTACTTTCAACCACTTTATGTCATTAAGCACATTCACGTACACAACAGGTGTTTATTTGAATGATACGCGACACTGTACACTGTACTTTTGTAAATAACACGCAACATTATTTGGTAAAACCGAGATCAAAATGCCATTTATTTTTTGAACTTTAGAACACTGCATAACGCGTCAATGCTTCGTATGACGTGACGATAATTTTTCGAAATTTCTAGTCATATCTTAACTATACATCTCGCAGGTTTTTTTTTTTTGAGAAACACGGAAACATTCCCTCACTGTAAAAGGAACAAGACGCTATGGGAGCTTACACTTCAGCGTCGTGGTTGAGCATTAATTGTGAATGAGGAGGAATGGTAAGAAATTATATTTTTCCGGATACCCTTACATACAAATACTCTTACTTTTCTCCTTATATGCAACAGACATCTTAACTTCTTCAGCGGAAGTCTGCTAAGTGCATGACCTCGTGGCTGTAACCCAGTTCGATTATAATAGGCTCTTTACATGACTTGATCACGTGACCAACTTTCGGTAAACACAAAAACAGTTCACTTTTGAGAAAGTTTGTTAGCACAAGCTGAAAGACCGTATTAAAACCAGGTGATTTGAGCATTTTCAGTCGTGTATCTCAAAAGTAGCGATTGCAACGGCCGCTGAAAGTTACAAGCATTTGCATGAGAAAAACAACTTTTGCCACCCAGTCACGCTTGCATGGTTTTCCATACAAATCTTTGTAAATTCTAAAATTTTTAAACTGTCGTTAAATCTTTCCTTTACGCATTTAAGGGCTCAAATTGCCTTTACGAATTAAAAGGAGATTTGAGACCTGTAATGCTTATTAAGAAAATATTTCATGACAATTTTGAAAATTTCGAAATTGCAACGATTTGTATGGAAAACCATGCAATCGTGACTGGCTGGCAAAACTTGTTTTTCCCATACAAATGCTTTCAAGTTTCCGCGGCCTTTTGAGATATACGGCTGAAAATTCTCAGATTACCTAATTTTAATATGCTCTTTCAGCTTGTGCTAACCAAATCTTTCAAAAGTGAATTGTTTTCGTGTTTACCGAAAGTTGATCACGTGATCAAGTCATGCGAAGAGCCTATTTCTGTCACAAATAAACTGCACACCACGAGATCTCAGTTCCACTTCCTTTATTTCCTCTACAACAACACTTTCCTTATGTACAGTTAACTCCCCACCTTCTCCAGCAACGTAACTAACATCAGTACATTCCTTTACAAAACTTGCTGAAAATGCACAATCTCCACGCAGGGGATAATTCAGGTACAACGTCGCAAACTATATACGAGATAAATACCGAGAACGTAGGCATTAATCCATACATGTATACATCCCGAGCGCCGTAGGAAACTCTAATTTAGCATAGTTGTCGGCGAGAAAAAGAAACTTTGACTATTTAATATTCTTCATTGACCCTTTGCTTTGAATGACGACTTGCTACCTGTTGTTCATTCGTTAGTGTTGCTAAGACATTTGTTCATTTTTTTCCCGCTAACATCAGTGGAACGACCAAAAACTAGATTGATTCTCAAGCCTATGAATGGAAACTGCAAAGAAACTTACCGAGTCAAAAAGAACTCTGTCATTAAACTAGGTTTTTTTAGCTACTCAGGCAAGTTGTTTTTATGAGCACGTTTTGTTACTGACGCGTCTAAAAAAGACTACTTTGCCGATATTAAAAGTCTACCCATTGTTTATTTGATACAGACTTACCCTTTTCTGCGAAGAAAAACAAAGCCGTGATTAGGAGAATAATTTGCTTCATCACCATCTTGGATCATATTCTCGATTAAAGTCCGGTAGAAGTTTTGGCGGACAGATTTCCTCTTAAAAGGGGTTGAGGCTCGCATACGCAAGCGTTTTTCATGAAAGGTTATCTCTCGGTTACGGTAATGACCTACGACGATAAGTGAATTCACTAAACAGCATGATTATTCAGATTTCGGTTTCGAAAGCTTAAGGCCTTTTATTTGTTCTTGCCCATGGTCGTGATCGTAAATTACTGTCATACAGCACGTTCACGTACACAACAGGTGTTTATTTGAATGATACGCGATAGAACACTGTTCTTTTGCACATAACACGCAACATTTGGTAAAATGAAACTCAAAAACGTTTTTTGAAACTTTAGAACACTGCGTAACGGCGCGAACGGCTCGACGCGTTAATGCTTCGTATAACGTTACAATATCTTTTCGAAATCGCCAGTCAAAATTTAACTATACATCTCGCAGCCTTTTTTCTGGAGAAACACTGGACGGAAACACTTCCCAACTGTAAAAGGAATGATCAGAAGCCTACCACTCATGTTGATCAAATAAGCAATCGAACGTGGCTGGATGTTGCCGGATGTTTACTAGATTCATGAATCAGTGCATGGATCTTTACCATGATTAGACATGTTTGGAAAACATCATTATCTTACACTTTTTCAATAAAACTTGACTCCAGTTGGAGGACATTAAAAATCTCAAATAAGTCTGTCTTTCTCCTCTAGATGACCATCCTGGTGAGACAAAATGGAGGCCATTTTCTGGGACAGCAAAGATGAGCATTATCACCTACTAACTATGCCAGACAAGGAAAGAAGTAGCCTCAGGCTGTTCAAGCCACAGGGCTGACAAACCCATTTCTTAGTCTTTTGCAGGGTGTTTTAAGAATTATGCCACGGTTATTGTGTAATCAACGGCTGCTACTTGAATTGGAGTGTATAGACTTAGCCAACCTAGCAAAGTGGATAAAGAGATGGAAGATATGTATCTTATTGGATGGTTTGGTGTGTAGTATCGTGAGATATTTTTACGAGTCACGCCTTATTTTGGCGAGCCCGTTGGGCGAGTCAAAATACAAGAGACAAGTAAAAGTGTCCCTCGATACTACACGCTAAACTGTTCAGTAAGAGATTTATTAATCAACTCGAAGGAGTATAAAATGGAACTCAGTAAAAATGCTGACGCTTGCCTACTTATAACGAGAATGCGTGACAGACTAACGTGAGTCCTGTTTTCGCGCGCTTTCATCAACGCTATTGCTGATTACGGGTCAGAAATAAAAACTTGTCAAACTGGTTTGCTCTGTAAATCAATATTTTTCGGGTTTTTTTGTCGGCGTTTCGAGGTTCTATCTTTGAAACATTTGCTATATAAACAGAGATGGAATAAAAAAATAATCGTGAGGCTTATGATGGTCTTTCGCTTACGTAAAATTAAACGGACTGCAAGCAGAGCAATTTGCGATTGGAAACACTGATTCTCCCACAAATTCAAGGAGTTTCAAAGAGTTTCTCGTAGACAAAGGACTTGAAACCTCATCTTCACCGGGTTATACTAACAAAAAGAGAACGTCTAAAGTCTAACATGTCGAGTCTCCTCACATTTTAAAAGAACGAGAGGTGAGGACTGTTCAGTTCCTAGGCGGGGATTATATTAAATGGACGTTTTTTTTCTTTAACGGATTTTCGCCATCACCATCTCTCTGACATAACTTCAGGTCTGTTTTCATCTTACGTTTTTATCTGGAGCTTCTAAAGTTTGTATGTCCTATCTTTTTTTCAATAAATGTCGACATTTCATTGTCGAGTGTTCAGGCGACTTTAGTCTAGAAACTTGGTTTATTTAAGCTTACAATTTGGCTCCGAGTCAAAAAGAACTCTGTCGTTAAACTAGTTTTTTTTAGTCACTTAGGCAAGTTGTTTTTATGGGCACGTTTTGTTACTGACGCGTTTGTAAAAGACTACGTTGCCGATATTATAAGTCTATTCATTGTTTACTTGATACAGACAAGCAGAAAAACAAAGCAGTGATTAGGAGAATAATTTGCTTCATCGCCATTTTGGATCATATACTCGATTAAAGTCCGGCAGAGATTTTAGCGAACAGATTTCTTCTTAAAAGGGGTCTAGGCTCGCATACGCAAGCGTTTTTCATGAGAGGTAATCTCTTGCTTACGGTTATTGACCTACGACTTAAAGAGAATTCACTAAACAGCATGATTATTCAGATTTCGGTTTCGAAAGCTTAAGGCCTTTTATTTGTTCTTGCTCATGGCCGTGATCGTAAATTACTTTCAACCCCGTTATGTCATTAAGCACATTCACGTACACAACAGGTGTTTATTTGAATGATACGCGACACTGTACACTGTAGTTTTGTACATAACACACAACATTATTTGGAAAAACCGAGATCAAACTCAATTTTTTTTGGAACTTTAGAACACTGCATAACGCGTCAATGCTTCGTATGACGCGACAATAACTTTGTGAAATTTCTAGTCATATCTTAACTATACATCTCGCAGGTTTTTTTTTTTTTTTTTGTGAGAAACACGGAGAAACATTCCCTCACTGTAAAAGGAACAAGACGCTATGGGAGCTTACACTTCGGCGTCGTGGTTGAGCATTAATTGTGAATGCGGAGGAATAGTAAGAAATTATATTTTTCCGGATACCCTTACATACAAATACTCTTACTTTTCTCCTTATGTGCAACAGACGTCTTAACTTCTTCAGCGGAAGTCTGCATGACCTCGTGGCTGTAACCCAGTTCGATTATAATAGGCTCTTTACATGACTTGATCACGTGACCAACTTTCGGTAAACACGAAAACAGTTCACTTTTGAGAAAGTTTGTTAGCACAAGCTGAAAGACCGTATTAAAACCAGGTGATTTGAGGATTTTCAGTCGTGTATCTCAAAAGTAGCGATTGCAACGGCGGCCGTAAGTTAGAAGCATTTGTATA